TGGTATATGAAGGAATCTTTGTCTAGACCAAGATGCCACCAATGTTTTTCACCCTATGTCTTCTCCTAGAATATGGCCCACTTTGAGTTAATTTATATGTGGTCCAAGGTTTGGATTGGGATTTTAAAATATTTTTTTGGCATATGGATATCCAATTGTTTCAGCACCATTTGTTGAAAAGACTCTTCTTTCTCCATTAACTTGCATTTGCATCTTGGTTAAAATCACCATATATATGTGGATCCTCTATTTCTCCATGACCATGTTATCCTATTCGCTGAGCTTTATATTTATGTAAGCCTTGAAATCAGTTAGTGTGAGACTTTTTTTTTCTTCATTCTCAACATTATTTTGACTATCCTAGTTCTTTTTCATTTTTTGATTTCTACAAAGCAATTCTGTAGGAGTATTGATTGGAATTGTGTTGAGTTTGCAGACAGTTTGAAGAAAATTGAAATAGTAACAATATTGAGTCTTCCCATTCTTGAACACTATCCATTTCTCCATTTAAGTCTTCTTTAATTTCCTTTATTAGTGATTTGTAGCTTTCAGCACACATTTTTAGATTTATAGCAAAATTTTGATATATTTTTATGATTTTTGTAGTATATTCATGGTACTTTTAAAATTTAACTAATTGTTCATATCCCATATATAGAACACTGATTTTTTTGTTAAGCTGCTGAATTTTAGTTTTATTACCTGTTTTGTGGTTTCTTGTGGAATGTGTATGTAAGCAATGACACCTACTTTGGATTTCCAAAAAAAAGTATGCTTTATTTTATTCAGGCGATCCTTAGGACATGGGATGGTTGTTCTTACACACATTACATTATGATTAGATGAGTCTTATGATTTTTCCTTTTTTCTCCTTGGTTGTTTGTTAGTGTCAATTATTTGATCAGTTATCTGATATAAAATATATTCTTGTATAGTTTGGAAAAATGTTTACATGGAAAGTGACATAGGGAAGTGAATGTTTTATAATCTCTGTTAATGAGATTTGAAAGAACGTGTACCTTACTTGCTATAGACAACTAAGATAAATAGTAAAAATGGAAAATACCTTCTCGCTTGAATTGTACTTCTTTTTGCACTGCTTAGTTGTGTAACAATGATAAATAAAAAAAGGTCTAAGCATTTGTATCATGTTCAAGACTGCCTTCGTATTTTATGTGATTTTTTTAAAAGGAGTTGGGACATTGCTTTAGTGAATCCTCAAGACCTTAAAAATGAATCTTTAATTTGAGCAGATTATGATGAATGAGAGACATTTATAGTGTACAATTGCTATCTAGATGCAATTCTACTCTGTAGTGCTTTATTGATTTCTTTCCTTCTGCATTGCCACAACTCAGGATTTCTTCTCTGTAATAATATAGAGTCATTGAAAACAAAATACAGTTAGATTCTAGATAGTTTTTTTCTCCCTCAATCTAAAAATTTTCTTATATTTAGTACAGGAGTTTTAGCTAACAATTTTGCTTTCCTATTTTGTTTATTTGACAATATTTATGTGTGGACATATATCCTAAGGCTACTAGTTTGGAGTATGTTATTAAGTAGAATTTTTTTTTTAGGATTAACAAATGCAAAAGCACAGGCTATTTTTTCAGATATCAAATTGCTATCTCTTACTTCCATGAATAAGAAGACATGACTTTTCTTTAACATTTTTTATTGATTTATAATCATTTTACAATGTTGTGTCAAATTCCAGTGTTCAGCACAGTTTTTCAGTCATTCATGGACAGATACACGCTCATT